CCCCAAAACCCCAAAACCCCAAAACCCCAAAACCCCTAATTTGGCTTAAAATATTGGAATTTGTTAACGAAATCCTTTCAACATATGGGAATTCACTTCTTCTTAAAACCTGACATGCTCAAAGCTACTTTGATTTAATATCTGCCTTGTTTTGGGTTTAGTAAGATTACAGCCATTAAGACCAACTGTTTTCAGAGAATCTCTAAAATCATCAGAATATCCTAACCCTGTCATTAAATTTATGAATGGGCTTGGGTCTCTCTTCCATGAATGTCTTCCGCCTCCTCACCGATCGAAATCGAGGTGGCTTATTTGAGATCCTTCGAGGGTATCTTCGAAATCAGGAACAGATTCTATCTCTAGCAAGCAACAAGTAAAATGCAATGTCTTCAAGTGCTTAAATCCTTCAATGATCTTCATTACTTGATATTGACTCAGCCTGAAATCCCAGATGAATAGTTCTTTAGTGATAGATGCTCGAAGAGAAAAGATTTCAGAAAAATAGTGCGAGAAGTTTATAAGCCCACAAGAGTCCCATCCGAAGCAGAAGGTCTCAATGTCAGAAGGGAGAGAGCTGAGTAAGAATTGTTTTAGTACGTCCTTCTCGAATCCAAGTAGCCTTCCTATGATGATCTGCTTAATGCTATTAGGAAATCTCTTCTCAGACGCCAAGATCAGTCCTTCGTCAGATTTCCTATTCACGTTCAGATGTAGCGAAGATCCTTGTAAATTATCGCTATTTGGTCCTAATGTCCTGTTCAAGAAGTCTCTAAACTCATATATATCGTAAATTTCATTCTCAGGGAGTTCTATTGTCTGTACTACTTCAGGATCTACCCTAGCATCATTCAGCTCAATGAGTCTTTCTTTTTCTTGGTTAAGTTCCATGATCATTTGGTCTCTTCGCTCAATCTCTTGGTTTGCTCTTAAGATTTGCTCTCTTAGATCATCTTCTTTTCTGCGAGATTCTTCTAATTCCTCATTTACGGCCTTATCTCTCTGCTTTAATTCAGCTTTAATGACCTCATCCTGTTTTATAATACTCTCAAGTTCTTTTTTCTGGAGGCCTTCAATATGCTTGAGTAAGTCCTTAGTATTATTAAAGATTTTAAATATCGAATCTTTCAGTTCGCTAGCATTCTGGTCACGATTTCTTATCTCATGCTTTTCCTGTTCAATCAGTTCGTGAAAGTTATTCAATATATGGATGATTTCTTCCGACAGAAATATTGGATTATCGTCTGCTCCTGCAGGAAGGGATCCTTCATATTGCTCGAACCGAGCATTTGATAACTGCTGATTTCCTTTGTCTTTACTTGATGCATACTCCAAGGTCCAGTCATGTAGACACTTAGCTGTAAATTCATTATATAGCTTCTCTTTCTTCAGTGAATCAAAAATAGTTAGAGCTTCTTTCTGAATAGGAGCATAATGGTGGTAAACTGAATCAGCCATTGCAATGCCAAATTTTGTGTTGAGATCCTTAATTTCATCATCATATTTAGCGAAAAAAGCTTTGGCTTCTTCCATAGTGTCTTCATCTTCGTGCACAGAGATCGTGAACAGCTTGATGCATTCAGAGAGTCCTTTCAAAGTATTCCTTGGAACCCTTGGGTCTATAAGGAACTCTTTCTGTTGATCCCAGAATTTTGACTGGGCTCAGCTTTGGCAAGCATACTTTTTCTTCTTTTCAACGTAAAAAGAAGAGATGTTGAGGCATTTTGTGGTGCAACACTTTGGTAAATCCATTTATAAAATCACAAATATCAATGGTTAAATTATAAAAGGGGTTTTGGGGTTTTGGGGTTTTGGGGTTTTGGGG